TTTTTTTTTTTTTTAATTTCAAATCTTTGTGGCAGACCTGGATTTGGGCCATGGGGCACGTTTTCAGTAACTCTCTCCCCCGCTGACTTTCTGTGAAAGACGAGGACCTCTGTCTACCACACCGCTCCCATGACCCCCACATGCAGAAGGCGCCTGGTACACAATCACATCTAATGAAAACATGGGGAGCCTTCATTATGAAGACCGCAGTGGAGAACTCCACAGTCAAAGCTCGCCAGCAATTTAAGCGTCATTTTTATTTCTTTCTGCACAACCATGGATTTTCTCTAGCTGGCGGAGGGTCTTGCTGTGAGTCTTCAGGACATGTCCACCGAGGGACGCTGGGGCATTTTCAGCCAGTACGTAGGTGGGGTTTTAGCGGGAATCACAGGTGCACCGCTGGCCCTGACATCAATGCAGGGGCTCTTTTCTCTGGCTGCTTCTCTGAGGTCCTGGTTACTGGGGTCAGGCAAGGAGGTCTGGTCTAGTGCATCCTCTCTCAAGGCTTCTTCAGCCTCCCTGGAACCAAGCTGCCCTCACAGCCGACGCAGAGGAGGCGGGGCCAAGTCACTGGCAGGAGAGGGAGAGGAGCGAGACCCCTATGGGGTCCCCTCAAAGGCTGGCCACTCTCCTTTCCGGGTTCTGACACTGGCTTCTTCCCACCTTAGACTCTCTCACCTGAGCATTTTCCTTGTAGAGGGATGGGAAACCGGCAGAAAGACCTGGGCTCTCTCAGGCCCAGGGAGCTGGCCCCCGGGGTCACCCTGCCTGGATGAGTCTGTGTTCCCAGTGATAACAGGGGCAGGGAAGACACACAGCTTTCAAGGGCTCAATAAGTGGGTTTGATTCTCAGCTCTCCCTATCTGGCTGTGTGACTTTACCTCTCTGTGCCTCAGTTTTTCCATTGGTGAAGTGGGAATCAGAACAGTGCATTCCTTCTAGGGCTACTATGAGGATACCAAGCAAGAAGGGCGCCACAGCGCCCAGCCATGTGCCAGGTATTCGGTGCTGTCAACGGTGACGTCCCAAGGTGAACTGGGTCCTTTGCACCACAAGGCTCCATTTTGTTCCAGAAGGCTGGGTGTGACTCCCCGTCCCTTGGGTACGTGCTGAAGGCCCGTGCAGGGTAAGAGTGAGAGCTTGGGTTCTTGTTCAGATGGCCAGGGTCAGAACTTCACCCTGGCTGTGTCCTTGCTTGGGAACCCTGCCTTTGTGATATAACTGTTTTGTGCCTCAATTTTCCCACCTGAAAACTGTGTGTAAAAGTATCAGCTACCTCCTGGAGCTGCTGGAGCTTGGAGAGATGGTGTGAGTAAAGACATGGTCACAGGGCCCCGTGAGGAGCAGGCTGGCGCCTGGGTGGGAGACAGGGACCCCTGTGCGCATGCAGAATACAAGCATCAGAGTGGCCAGCGCTCCCCAGGTGAGGAAGTGGATCCACTAACAGGACCAGAGCTGAGTCCACAGGCCCACAGCACTTCCCGGCCGTCTTCCGTGCACCTGGTCCAGGTGACACCCAGGGGCCCTGCCCAAGAACGTGAATGAAGAAGACTGGGCCTGCCAGTGCCCTGCCCATAAGCTGCTGACTGCTGACCCCTGCAGAGGCAGCGAAAGCCCGATGCCAGGGGCGGGGCTGGGCAGCTTCACGCAAAGCTTTCAAAGCCCGGATTCTGAAGGCCTTCCTGTTTTCTCACCCTCGGAAACCAGAGGAGTCGATCCTTAATGAAAACTTTCCACAGCTTCAGCTTTCTAAAAATAGCTGGTGGGCAGAGCTGCAGGACCTCGGCTCTGGAAATGGGGGTGTTTCCCTTCTCAGAGCCGGGCAGTGGGGCACTCGTCCCACCGTTCGGATGAGACCTGCTGCTGCTGCAAGCTACCTGCAGGTACAGTGAGCAGTCTCATCTGGAAAACCAAACCAATGCCTCACACTTAGACCTTTTTACTGTTGGGGGTGGTGGTGGCTCTGAGCTTTAGACCCCACCAAAACCTCCCTGGGTCGGAACCTTTTCATTGTGAAACCCCAGTTTGCTCCCCTGCCTGCAGAAGGGAAAGTTCTAGAACCGAAATGCCAGCTGGGGGTGGTGACTGTGGGGCACCGCGTCTGGCCGGAAACGTGGGGTCTCAGCCCTGAGAGGGGCTTCACCCCAACCACTTCATCCAGCCGACCTCCTGCCCACAGGAGCGCCTGCGGCAGGGCGCCAAGGTGGAGGGGGCACCTCACGGCCCTTTGAATCGGTTCATGGTGTCCACCATGACATTTCACCTTTAGGGGAAGGACGGTCCCCCGGCTCAGCCTTCACTCCTCCTCTCTGCATCTCCTGCCCTCTCTCTGCGGTTCCTCCACATGCTTACGCTGTTCTGAGTCCGGAAACTGCCCCCCAGAGGCAGCGCTGGGACCCTGGGATCTGCCCCTGTCCCCTCTGTGGCCGCACGTCCTGCCGCCCTCCACCTGCTCCGGCGTCCTTCTGCCTGACCTTCCATCCCTGAGCCGCTGCCCTCTGATCCCCCGGGCAGGATCGTACCTTCCCGCCTCTCTAGTGCTTCTCCCCACCACGGCCGTCAGGGCTCCGATCCGGGCTCCTGGCAGCCTGCGTCCGCGGCCCCTCTGCTGGGTTTCTATGCTGTGAGGGCTGGTGTGCCCTGACGCATCCTGGGCCTCGGCCACGGAGCTTAGAAAGGGCTGAAGACACTTCAGGGCCCACTGTCGGAGCTAAGCACCCTGACCCACTCCGCTCTCAGCATTTTATTCACTGTCTGGCGCCAGCTCCTGTTCCTCTCCTCCCGCCTCTTCCCACGCCTGGCCACACGCACGCGTCCATTCAGCCCTGCCCCTGCCCAAATGCAGCGTCCCCTCCTGTCCTCGTCCTAACACCGCCTCTCCCTGCTCTGCGGACGCGTGGCCTCTTCGCTATTCAGCTGTGCCGCTGTAACAGAAAAGCAGCTGGGCAACGCGGCACGGATAATGCTCCAATAAAACTTTACCGAACTAGCCGTGGGGCCGGATCTGGCCTAAGACTGCCGAGTAGCAGTGCCAAACCAAAGCACGGAGCTCTCTTTGCCCGTTCTTGGAAGGCAGCAATCTGGGAAGCCCTGGCCTCGATGAATACTGACAATCAGATGATTCTGGAAGGATTTAGTGGTAGATTTCTGCACACTAGGAGTCTGCCTGGGGGATTTCTGATCGGCTTGGCGGCCCAGACTGACTTGTTTCTCCCTTATCAGCCCCAAGTTCTCCAGTGCTGGCCCGCAGAAGAGCAGCTGCGCAGGGCTGCACCCCGAAAACCACACTGATCTACTTCACACGCAGGGCATGGACTCCCGCCCCCCAGGCCTCCTGCACGGTGGCTAGAGGCGGCCGGTCAGGAGAGTGCCCACTGCCAAGGTCACAGCAGGAAACGCTCCTCCGGCTGAGATGGGAATGGGAATCTGAGGGGCAGGAGGGGCTCAGGGCCAACCACCCATCTCTGCCTGAAGCCGCTTGGATTCCCTCCCACAAGCACCACACTGGAGTCAGAATGAAAGAATACTTGAAAGCTCCGAAGGCAGCCTCTAGCTCCTGCCTTTTGTTCCAGCTGTTCTCAGGGAATCTACTCTGAAGGCCAAGAGTGAGCCCCGGCTGCCCTGTGAGGAAAGCTGGCCTCACAACCTCCTGTGACTCCTCCTCACAAGTGAAAAGATATTAGCGGAGGACATAGCTCTCTTGGGTTCTGCTTCTGCTTGCTACAAGGCTTTCCGGCCTTTGATCTTTGCCCAGCCCTTGCTGTGGGCTCTGGGCCCTGGGGAACTCTGAAGAACTTTCCAGAAGAGCCCAGGCAGGCCTGAGTCTACAGGCTCACTGAAAAGAACAAAAGCCCCTTGATAGGCCTGTAGCCCAAAGCCTTGGGAGGCAAAGAGTCAGGGACAAGCTGCAGGCCTGTGCCAGCCTGCCCAGGCCCCAGGGGCTGCCCGCCCTCACAGCAACAACCCACTCACGTTCTTACCATCCCGATTTCCAGGCAAGAGGGCCCTCGGGAGGAGGTACAGCCCAAGGTGGGTGTTCAGCACCTATTCGCTCATCAGGCCCCTGCCTCTGCCAATCCCTGCAGAGAGTGCTGGAGCCCCTGCCCTGCCCCTCAGGGGTCGTTCCGGTGTTGGGGCATTCTGGGACACCTCAGTAAGCCCTGTTGTCTGGGAGACATGGCTCTCAGGGGTCAGCTCTTCTGTGTCAAGGGGGGCCATCAGTGTCTTTCTCTCCAGGATTTCTAGACCTGGCTGCTTACATAAAGAAGCCACGGCAAACATAAACCAACATTACTGACCCCGGCTGACCACGTGCCCACCGTGTCTCCAGCACTGTGAGTGAGGTTGAGTGGTTCTAGTTAGGGCACTGAGAGGACTAAATAACAGCCCTGGCATCTACGCAGCTGAGGCGCAGAAAGGTAAAGTCACTTCCTCGGTTCCCACACGGACTCCGTCCTCAAAGGGGTCCGTTTTAGTGACCCGACCCTGCACAGGCCCAGTGGCCCAAGCCCTTCCATGCGGCTCTAACTGGTCCCAGAAGCCAGGTGAGGCTCCGCTGAGCAGCTGGGAAAACCACAGCTCTGGTTTTTAGATTTCAAATCCAGAAATCGAGCAGCAGAGGAAGGCTGTCAAACGCACGTGACAAGAAGGCCCCCAGGAGAAGTTGAAACTGAGTAGAGGGAATGGAGACCGGGAATTCCCTAAGCAGGGG